GTCCTTCTTCTTGCAGTTTCTCACCAGTCAGCACCTCATGGAATCGTTTCTCCGTCCTTCCTCTTACAGTTTCTCACCAGTCAGCACCTCATGGAATCGTTTCTTTGTCCTTCCTCTTACAGTTTCTCACCAGTCAGCACCTCATGGAATCGTTTCTCCGTCCTTCCTCTTACAGTTTCTCACCAGTCAGCACCTCATGGAATCGTTTCTCCGTCCTTCTTCTTGCAGTTTCTCACCAGTCAGCACCTCATGGAATCGTTTCTCTGTCCTTCCTCTTACAGTTTCTCACCAGTCAGCACCTCATGGACTACTCGCTGCTCGTCGGCATTCACGACTGCGAGAAGGCGCAGGAGGAAGCCGAGAGTCGGCGCCAGGAGGAGAACTCGAACGGCATCGAGGAGGAAGACGAGAGCCCCGAGTCGGACGTCAGCTTCGACTACAAGAACACTCCGCCGGATAGTCCCGTCTTCAGCCCCGACAACCAGGGCTACTTCAAGTTCGACTCGCTCGAGTTCGACTGCGAGAGCGACATCTACGGAATGAAGTGCTCGGAGAGTGAGTATCCGTCATCGAGGGTGGAAGTGTCTTAAGCTGGGTTTATACTACCCACTTTATATTGGCGAATTCGCGAATTGGACCAACTTTCCAACTATACAACCGACAATCGGCAGTGTAAACGCGAAAGTCGCGTGACCAACTGGTCGATAGCAACTAGTTGGGAGATTAATTATTTAGAACTTGTTCTATTTTCGCCAACTCGGTGTTGCCGAATTGCGAAATTGGTCCAACTCGCCAATTTGACAACAGAAGGTCGGTAGTATAAACCCAGCTTAAGACATTAAAAAATGGGGGGGCATAGCCTTGAATACACACGTGTGAATCTATCGACGTGCATATTCATGCATTGAGGAACCTGTGCTATCATGGGCGGAAGGGGGATCGACCTTGTTATTACTTCACAGATTCCCATTCCACCTGCTAGCATTTATTTCCATATTCTTTTTTATTTGAACAGATTCCGCTAGGAAAGAGGTCTACTGTGTTGGCTATCGTGGGAGGAGGGTGCTGTACCTTGTTATGATTTCACAGATTTGCATTCCGCCTTGGTAGCTATTTCCATTTTTTTAAACAGATGCCGCTAGGAAAGAGGTCTATTTTGTCGGCATCATCGACATCCTAACGCACTACGGCGCGAGAAAGCGAACTGCGCAGGCAGTCAAGACAGTGAAGCACGGAGCCGGCGCCGAGATCTCCACAGTCAACCCCGAGCAGTATTCGCGTCGTTTTCTAGAATTCGTCAGCAAGGCCCTAGAGTAGAAACGCGTTGTCCGGAGATGCGTGCGCAGGTATTGTACGTAGAGCACGAGCATTTGAATGACAACGCGTTTATCGATAATAGATTGACACGTATGCGAGAGCGTTACGCTATGCACACCGTGCATCAGTGAATCGGCTGTACGGCCTGCAGCACCTTAAAGGGTCGAATCGAGGTGGACAAATAGATATGGGGTAGGAACACAGGGTTCTGTTTACATGATGTGAATACTGGCATCTCTTCCAAAATTACAAATGACTAGTAATGTTCTGCTACTGTTCTAGCTGTTATACTCGAAATCTTTGGCCAAATTATACTTAAAAATTTCATAATTTGTATATAATTTTTTGGCGTGCGTAATCAGTGAAAAGCTGGGCATATAGAAGCATGGCTGGCCAAGCAATTGCCATATTTGTAGAGTTGCTCATGTCGTGTTTAAAGGCATAATAAGCCCATTGATTATGCAATGTTGACGAATGCTAGAGTAACTGGCACCTTGTGTAGTTAATAAGTACATAACCTTATAGCCAAACGCGTGTTAGTTTGTCCAATATCACTGCTGGTTACATTACAAACAAGACTTGAAATCGGTTGTTTATATGTATCAACGTATCATTTACGTGCCGTAAATGTCATCCAGGAGTCGAGCGATGACGTAAACATTTGTGCGGCCCGTATGTTTTGGACGCCAGATGAAATGGAGGTGTCAGCGGTGTAACCACGGCCACAGACTAAACATCGAAATGGAGTAAAACACACGTACTAATCACGGACGCACGTGGACAGCCCTGACAAAAAGTTCCTTATCACAAGCGTCCATGTTTACGAAATCACTGATGATAGCATTGCGTACGGCCGAGCATGCGTGCGAAAATGTCTGGTGCACTATTAATCTGTATCACACCCTCTTCCCCGGCAGCGGTTTGAAACTGTAAACAACTGATTTTTGGACTGCGGATTTCAATTAGACATTTCTTAGTAACCAGCAGTGATATTGGACAAACTAATACGCGTTTGGATGTAAGGTTATGTACTTATTAACTACACAAGGTGCCAGTTACTCTAGCATTCGTCAACATTGCATAAGCAATGGGCTTATTATGCCTTTAATATATTGCAGAAAAATAACAACAGATTTATAAAGCTCTGTTTTGTGTAGAAAGAATTGTGATACTTTGTGTACTATTTTGTGAAGGTAAAAGAACAAAGGTACTCCTTTTTTCTGGTCAATCGGTCTGTTGGTCAGTTGCTGCATGCTTTCTTATAACCAAAATGTTATCATAAGTAAACGTGTGCTGTTAGTGACATTGTACTTGACTTACTATGCGCTGCGTCTAGTAATAGATGGATAATCTTAGGGCGAGAAACTTTGTTAATTGTCTTTACATTAAGAACAATTAACACCATTTTCTTTTCCGAACACATTAATTGGTCTCGAGTTTTAGTCCAATAGTGGTATGCATGGCATCACCTACTTAATTCTCTTTTATCTTACGCAGTCCTCTGGTGCTTAAGTATTACTATTGTAATATTAAATCCCTTACTGAAAGTGTGTGTGAAGTACATTTGGAGTTGGTGTCTTGTAAATGTGGTAAACTGTGAAATGCCGCATAAGGTGTACTTGCTCAGTATTATGGACTACACAAATGTGTGTATTTCTATGATGCTTGATAGTCATAGAACTCCTTATTAGACATATTTTGAGGGACCAAAACGCGGCAGACATTAACAAACTCGGCACTTCGCTCATTGGTTAGAAATCGTCTAGTTACAAAGAAACGAGAGTGAATTAGAATCAGACCGCAGCTAATTTAGTTTCGTATATATAGGATTGCTTTTTAGTTTCACATTATGTCATAGGGAAATAGCTGCGTCTGTGTGCCCATCGAACATGCCACAACAAAATTATAGTACGTAGTTCATAATTATGACAGGCAAAGTTCTCAGTTTCTGTACATGTGCAAGAAAGGCGTGGTCGTATAACAAGATTGCTACTGGAGAAGAACACTATGATTAGCACCATTACCGTCCGTTTAAAATGGATCTGATGATCACCCTCCGAACAGTTTTGTTTTGATATAGCAGTGAAAAAACATTATTCTCATAAATTACACGCTAATAAAGTGCAATCACTTATGATTCATGTGGTCTAGTCAAATAGCTTGTATATTGTAATTGTAATAATTTTGTAATAAAAAGTTCGTTTGTGCTACATTATCGTTGGGGAACACATTGGCATACGTAACAGTTGGAAAATATTGTTATTACAGTGTGTGGTGATATATTTTTCCAATGTCAGTGCTTCCGTGGATCATTCTCAAGTAAGTCATTTGTAGTACCCCCACATTATTCATTTTATTTGCATTATTGATGTTATCATTAAACCTGTCATCGTATTTACGAATGTAGTCTGTTTATTTATTCTGTCTTTCGCTTGCTAGTCAGCCACATGCCTAGTACATGGGTCATACATTCATGCACACGCACGCACGCACACACCAGCTTACCAATGCATTGTGGTCAAGCATTTTGCCAACATCAAATCAAAAACAAATTTTATCATTTGTACCCGGGGCAATACATCACTACATATTTCAGCTTCATGACTCGAATATATGCATTGGGGAGATTGTTTCAAGTGTATCCTTAACCAGTACGTAGAACATATGTATTTCAAACAAACGCAGATTTACTTTTGTATTGAACTTGACCTAGTAAAAAATTTGATTTTAAGTAACTGCTGCGCAAGGCATAACTATATCGTAAAACACATGTACCGCATGTAAAAATCAAGTTGCGCATCATATAAAAGATGCTGACCTGGGAAATATTGACTTTTAAAGCTGTAACAACCAACATTCTCAGATCACCTAAGTTACACGTCACTTATCTTCGGCCAGTATTAACCATTGTACTTTGTCTTGATCAATTATTGAACTACCAGAAAATACAATACCCCTCTATTACACTATTGAATCTGAGACAAATATTGATTGACGACTTCACTCGGAATGACGACATTTCCGTGAAATGCATACTCAGACAGCGCTCAACAATCCATAACAACTCGTTTTTAAATAACTCAATAACGTATTTTAATTGCCATAAGACAAGTTTGCATTACAACTTTTAAAACATGATAACATTTCTCACATTAGAAAATACAGCAAGCCTATTGGTGATTATATTCAGAAATGCATGAATTGTGCATCAGTTATGTAATTCAAGGCTCCGTTATATTTCCTTTACAAAATCTCGATTTACTCCTTTCAAAGCGTAATGCATGCACAAGAATTAGAACAGGATTATGCCAGATTAAATGATTATTCATAGGTTTCCCAGTTTGACACTAAGAAATGTCTGGTGCATTATACTCTATACAAATATTAACATTGTATACTAGTAATTCCAAGTCATTATCAGGATATATAAATATCAGATACTGTCGTTGGCAGACCAATACTGCCCACGATGTTGTATTTACTCTTATTCATGGATTAATCTCACTACTGCAGAATTAAATACAAAATTCAGTTACCTCCGGAGGGTATCATGTAAGTTCGGCACTACAAGATTGGCTTTTTAATGAAGAGCATGCCACAATGACTTATGCGGCAGTCACTATCGGACGGCTGCCTGGATATCTGGATGCTTGTGTGTACCATCACAGTAGGGGCGTTTGTTTGTCTGCTTACAGTTGCACAGCCATACCTCTTTCGCTTCATCCAACGTGAACCTAACGGGCTTGAGTTCGGACTTCATTATTTTGTGCATGCCGTCGCATAAAGGCTGTAAAATAGATGTGAATGGATGTAAAACTCTGATTTCAACTCGTAAGATTATTTTTTAACAGTTCAGAAAGGTAGCGTTCCATGAGGGATGTCACAATAAACAGATCTATGCAAACACTCGAAATATTCAGCCATGAAAAACTAACGCCAGCATTCAGTTTTGCGGGACCCAAAACATTGCACCCTTCGCAGTATTACGAGTATATTGAGTATATGAGTTATTTGTATTGAGTGTTACTGAGCTCAAGATTTTTAGTGCTGAGGTGCAAATTAAACAACATTCAAAACATTTTTTACAGCAAGTGTAAGCAATGTTTCCACACAGTTTATACCTGCTTCTCACTGAGCCCACAGGCACACCAGCTGTACCGTTTGTTGGCATCTATATGCAACTTGATAGGCTTGATGCCAGCAATAACGCCTTTCTTCTCAGTGACAGGATTGTCTGAGCCAGCAGTGGTACAGTGGCGCACCTGTCAGCCAGCAATATGGGTTTAAGTCGTAACATACAACCATCCATGCAAATTTTTTTTTAATTGGGCCAAGCACATTTCTGTCTATTATAATTAGAAAGAAATGTATAATTATACTACAGAAATATATATATATATAGAGAGAGATCGATAGATAGATAGAGATAGACAGAGAGAGAGAGAGAGAGATACCTATAATTGAATTAGTACCACATACTTGTGAATGACTGTACCCACACATGCACCATGTGTATGTCTTTCCTGGGTGGAGCATCATTTTAAATGGCTTCTTGTCATATGTTTTACCCTTTTCAGGAATATATTTTGCAGTGAAGTAATCTTCAGGTTTGGTAGACATTCTTACCTAAAACAACACAAAAATTGATAATTAAATCTGCATTGCTCAACAGGGTGCTAGAATTATTTTTTAGAATTAATGTCGGGCAAGTGGGTTATGAAACTGGTTGCCCGGAGATAATAGTCACTTGCCCGAACTTGGTCCAACTAGTCAACATCCAGCATTTCACTTAACGGCACGGTAGAAAGTTGAACAGCTGATACGAGTTTGTACACAAAATATATTCATGTTGGGACACAGCACGCAGTTTGTTTTAATTTTTAAATTTTGTAGGCCCTAATTGTCAGTTTATTATCAAAAACCCACCACTCTCACAATAAATTAATAAAATATGTTCACGTTTATTTGGGGCTGGATCGTAAGCGCAGAGAATATAGCAGTGCATGCATGCATATATATAAATTATAATAGACTGACAGCACAGTATACTGGTATACAGTGTATCTGTTTTTGTGTACTTCAGCAAAGAAAATCCTTGTTCACAGGTTGCGGTAGAGGGGCAAACATTTGAGGTAGTTGATCACGTAAACAACCATGCCTGGCCTGGGGGCCGGGTTTACATCTTACTGTGTGCATGTTGTGTACATCATTGTATCCACCGATTGTTTTATTCGCATTGTGTTTTTTTCATTCAAATCTCGTCGCAGCAAGGCAGCGTCAGGGCTCGAATTAACCGACGGCACCGACGGCAATTGCTGTCTGTGCCCCTATCAATCGCCGTACTGCCCCTGAAAATCCAACCCGACCGACGGCAGTCACCTGCCTTGCCCTTTTGTGTAATTGCCGTCGGTGCCCTTTAATCTACTGCCCTAGTTTTGTTTTTAGTCGAATCAACATAACACGTGCGCGTGCGTGCTGTAGTTGCAATGATCAGCTAAAAACCGATAGTCGCAGGAGGGAATAATAACAGCATCGGATAATTATTTGCTCCTGATAGCAGGCATGTAAAATTTCTTGTTACTGTACTTCCATTAGCAGAGGTGGGTACAGGGGTCAGTGTTACGGTGTAAGCTTACATGGGGGCATATTGTTTTGTACATTAAAAGCAAGTCGATGTTGATGTACTAATTTGTTATGAGTTTCCCTTTATTTTACAAAAGTGCCTTGGTGCCCTTCTCAAACTTTGAGAGTTGCCTTGGTGCCTTTCTATTTTAGAGAAAATTCAAGGCGATTTCTCACATGCCCTAAAAAAATTGCCTTGCCCTTCTCGTCGCTTAATTCGAGCCCTGGGCAGCGTGATGTTGTGTCTGTGCAAAACAATGCAAGGGACGGGTGGAAACAGAAAAATACCATTACCGTCAGTTGTGTCTAGACATTCAATAAAAAAAACTTGCTTGCCCGAACGGGCAAGTGCAATTTCAAGCTACTTGCCCGGGGGTGAATTTTTGGACGGACGATCATGCGATTCTACAAGCTGCATCTGACTATGTCAGATGAGCTAAAAACCCACCACTCTCACAATACATTAATAAAATATGTTCACGTTAATTTGGGGCTGGATCGTAAGCGCAGAGAATATAGCGGTGCATGCATGCAGATATAAATTATAATAGACTGACAGCCCAGTATACTGGTATACAGTGTATCTGTTTTTGTGTACTTCAGCAAAGAAAATCCTTGTTCACAGGTTGCGGTAGAGGGGCAAACATTTGAGGTAGCTGATCATGTAACAACCATGCCTGGCCTGGGGGCCGGGTTTACATCTTGCTGTGTGCATGTTGTGTACATCATTGTATCCACCGATTGTTTTATTCGCATTGTTTTTTTCATTCAAATCTCGTCGCAGCAAGGCAGCGTGATGTTGTGTCTGTGCAAAACAATGCAAGGGACGGGTGGAATCAGAAAAATACTATTACCGTCAGTTGTGTCTAGACATTCAATAAAAAAAACTTGCTTGCCCGAACGGGCAAGTGCAATTTCAAGCTACTTGCCCGGGGGTGAATTTTGGTTGCCCCGGGCAAGCAGGTTTGTCGCGCCCTGCTCAACATTTACATGATACTTGTGTTCAATCTTTTAGCTATAGTTTTTCTATCTTTTTTGCACCTGGTCACTGTTTTGGACATGCATCATTTTCATAGGATCCCTTTAAGTTTAGATTCTTCATTTTTATCATGCTATATTAGAATTCTCTTCGTCCTTTCCTTGTTAATTGTAAAATTGAAACTTTTTCTACTGCAATTCGCAGTTTTGATCTATTGATATAATGAACTTTATTTGTCTCTCTCCTTTTGCGGTAGACCTCCGTTCCTTGGACTTTGAAGACTAATCCTGATAAGGTTACGAGGTTACTCTAACCAAACCATGTGCTATTAAAACAGAAATTACGGTGCTTATGAATAGCAACGTACATTGCACAAAACTCGCAACAGCAGTAAATACGGTAAATCGCGCTGTTCCATGGTATGACATCTGCACTGTTATCTCATATAAGTTATAACTCTAAGGGCGCGTTTGTTTGGTCCGATCCACGGATCTCGATTCAATGGATTAGCTGATCTGACTGTTTGTTTGGTCGAATCACTTGATCTGGATCCACCGAACCCGACCCTGCTAGCGAGGCGGATTCGAACGGGATCCAATATGGCGGCCCGCGCCTCAGCAAATCACAGCTTGTTCTTTGTTAAGAACCATCTCGTGATAGGTCACAACAAAACGTGAACCGGTGAAAGTGAGTTTGTGTTTGTTTGGTCGGATCAGGATTACATGATCTCAATCAGACGGATTCGTCCCAAACAAACGCGACCTAAGCAGTTATGCTGGAACAATGCCAAAACGAAGCACCTGTCACCAATAGTGACAAAAATCTAAATAGCTTCATACACGGCTATTATAGTCTATACCTCGTAACCTCAAAAGGATTAGTCTTTGAAGTCCGACTGTAAGTTTAAGCAAGGTACCATTTCGAAGACGTAGAGAGATAAAGTTATATGTCGTCTCTGTTAATGGAGATTGGCACGCGTTTCCTAGAGACAACATGTACCTAAGACAGGCGGCAGAAACAGGGGAAAATTGTCATACTATTACAGCCAGTTTCATTCTCTGCCAACAACGCAAGTCTGTTGTCTCTGTCACTGAGTACTGTCACTGTCAGAGCCCGAGTCAAGGACAAGGCCCGGGCCATATTCCATAATATCAAGAGTGCATAATAGAGAAGAGTATGACACGGTTTTAACAGCGTTTTGCATAGTTTTCAACTGGTAAATAATCTATCAATATGTGAATAAATATATTCAAACTTTACCTTGTTTTCGTCTATGATTCTCCCTTAATCATATGACACCAC